CTGCCACGAAATCTGCACATGGAGGTTCACAAAGTGCTGCGCCTGCCGCGAAATCTGCGCCTCGAGGTTCACACAGTGCTGCGCCTGCTACGAAATCTACACATGAAGGTTCACAAAGGGCTGCGCCTGCCACGAAATCTGCACATGGAGGTTCACAAAGTGCTGCGCCTGCCACGTAATCTGCGCCTCGATGTTCACACTGTGCTGCGGCTGCCACGAATTCTGCACGTGGAGGTTCACAAAGCGGTGTGCCTGCCACGAATTCTGCACATGGAGGTTCACAAAGTGCTGCGCCTGCCACGTAATCACTTGGAGGTTCACGAAGTGCTGCACCTGCCACGACATCTGCGCGTCAAAAAACAAGTGAAAACTCTAATCACAATGGAGGGACGATTCCGAGAATGATCCGAGCATGATCCGACCATGACCCGAGACCGTCTCGCAACCGTCGTTCCGCGGAGCTTCCCCATCGAGGTTCATGGAGGTTCACAAAGTGCTGTGCCTGCCACGAACTCTGCACATGGAGGTTCACAAAGCACTGCGTCTGCCACGCAATCTGCACATGGAGGTTCACAAAGTGCTGCGCCTGCCACGAACTCTGCGCATGGAGGTTCACAACGTGCTGCACCTGCCACGAAATCTGCACATGGAGGTTCAGAAAGTGCTGCGCCTGCCACGTAAACTGGAGCTAGAGCTGTTGAAACTAGAGCTGACTGGAGCTAGAGCTCTTGAAACTAAAGCTGCCTGGAGCTAGAGCTATTGAAACTAGAGCTACCTGGAGCTAGAGCTCTTGCAACTAGAGCTAACTGGAGCTAGAGCTCTTGAAACTACAGCTAACTGGATGATGAGTGGTGTATGATGAGTGGTGTCTGATGAGTGGTGTATGATGAGTGGTGTATGATGAGTGGTGTATGATGAGTGGTGTATGATGAGTGGTGTATGATGAGTGGTGTATGATGAGTGGTGTATGATGAGTGGTGTATTGATGAGTGGTGTATTGATGAGTGGTGTATGATGAGTGGTGTATGATAAGTGGTGTATGTTGAGTGGTGTAGGATGAGTGGTGTATTGATGAGTGATGTATTGATGAGTGGTGTATGATGAGTGGTGTATCATGAGTGGTGTATGATGAGTGGTGTATGATGAGTGGTGTTTGATGAGTGGTGTATGATGAGTGGTGCATGATGAGTGGTGTATTGATGAGTGGTGTATTGATGAGTGGTGTATGATGAGTGGTGTATGATGAGTGGTGTATGAACAGTTCTTGAATGTCCGCAGCACGGAAGTTTCGTACACTAAATTTCCTTTGATCAACATGAATGATATTGCCGTTTGAGAGAGATTCAGTAGAACTGCTGCAGGAGTTTGACACGCACACACACACGAACCACGACCTGTTGGCCGGCACTTGTGGCAAAGCGGCACCATGACAGCGCCTGAATTTGCAGCGCTTGAACATGTCCTATTTTGACCAGTGCGCTTGCACATCACTTTCCCACAAAGTGCGGCATCTGGATCTTAAAGTCATGCCTGTGTCTCGGTGGGCTGGAACACCATTGTAGTGTTCCTGTATGCCTGGCAAAATCCTGGATACTCTTGTAGCGGAATGTGTCATTGATTAGCAAGGTGATCTTACAGCGCATTCATTGTGGCTGCGAGCTGGTGTCACAGATGTTTTTCTTTTGGCTTAGCGCGACAGCGCTTCAAGCAGGGAGCGGTTTGTCTACTGTGTTCGTTTTCAGGCTTGTCCAATTCTCCGATTACGCCAGGGAAACAGGCCAGCACCAGACTGGACAATGCATGGGCCAGTGCACAACATCCAAGGGCAGAAACCCGGTAACAACATGTCGGTCACTGAGATCGACTCTCATTGGATTGGCATGGCTTGCTCCATACTCACAGGATTTGTGCCCTGGAGCACCTGACAGATATTGTCGGGAAGTGATTCGGGTGCAACAACAATCTATTTGCAAGAATGGATTTATTACCCTGAGCGGCCAATTCATTTGGAAACGCCCACAAAAGCATTAATTACCTATTCAAAAGGATCTCCAGCAACAGTGCCCGGGGGTCTTAAACGTCACATGGACCAGCATCAAGAATTCATCGATCTTGAGATTTTTTCCCCAAGAGATCGGTTCAAACTTCAATCCCAAGACTTCTTTGGGGCGAAAAAGCATACGACGGTCAAAAGATATTAAGGCCCTAAGAGCTAGAACGATGTCCGGATTTGTGTGCAACATCCAGATTTAGATTAACATTAACATGATGTAACGAATCTGTGTGGGATTCGCTGGGCAAATGGTCGTATTGGTAAAATCAGGAAAAGCACATTTAGCGTGGCTACTGCGCCACGGTTTTTGAGGCCCTGCCCTTTTGCCCGTATTGGGTTCGCCCATCTTTGCTTAGAGAGACAGGTTCAACTCACGCGGAAATTGGCTTGTCTGGACACTGTCCTTCTTGCATGATTTAAACCAGTGTCTCTGATGCCTTTGCCAGTGCAGAACGTTTTGGTTGCGTTGTGATCGAGTCTCCATTCCACCGAAAGAGTCATAGCTGCTTGCCGTTGTGTGAGTCCTTGCTTTGCTGGGAAGGCAGCTATTGCAGGCCACCAAGCTCTAGTAAGGCCTTTTTCTGCAAGAACGATTCCTGGATGGAATCCACTTGCATACTGTACAATCAAGAGTTCGGAAGCCTGCAGGTAGAAATATGTTTTTTGAATTTTTGTACATTGAATATGACCTGGGTTTACAGTTTGTTTACATTCTTTTGTCAAGCCGTAATTGGATTCTGCGGCATTGTTGGGTGCTCAGTTGGGTGCTCACGGTGCCCTTCCTGTGACCATGCAACCGCCCCTGGAAGATCTAGGATCCGGTTTTGGGGTTCCTCTTCAATATTCCTGATTGGGTGTTTTACGTGGATATGTACTTGTGAGGAGGGCGTTGGGCGTAGGGTGGGGGGGGCATGGGATGATAGTTCCCTAGAGGCCCGATATTGGATCCGTACCCTATGCAGAGTGTATTCTTCTCCATAAATAAAATTGCGCGAAGAGTCATGACATGTGCTCGCCATGAATCATCTAAGATGACACAAGCAAAAATAGAGAAGTATACCACTGCCGAGACCGCTTTTGATCAAGCGAAAAGAGTCCGCATGGTAGCGGAGCTTGAGAAGCTCACACTGTGAGCGGAGGCTCCTGATTACCGGACGCCATAGGCAATCAGTGCAAGAGGGTCCTTCTGCTACCTGATCACCACACCCCGCAGGACTACATCGACTACTTCTTGAAGTTCCCGGAGTTCGTTGGCATGGCTCAGGGATCTCCTGCTTCAGCAGGCCAGATGGACACCCAGGAGATCGCGCTTCGAAGGATCCAAGTGGCAGAAGCAGCATCGGTTGCGGCCCAGAGTGCAGCTGAGGCCTCGAACAGAAAGCCTGAAGGGGATAAGTTGGATAAGAACTGGTTTTTGAGTTCGCCCCCAAGCCGGCTAATTTCGACGCCAAAAGCAGGGAGGAGGAGGTGAGCTAATGGGGGGATTTTAGCTGGAACATGGAGCAATACCTGTTTTCGATGGATGCGCCTTTGCTGAGGACTTCAAGGAGCTGCGGAAGAGGGCAAATACGGTGATAGGCCCCTCAATCCTGATAGATTAGGATCGCCACAGGAGCACATTCCTCTACTCGTTGCTGGCTTCCTTGTCCGGCAACGTCCATTGGCCCCTGATGCGGCAGACGAAGGAATCCGAGCCTACCGGATGCTTCTCGAAAGTTTCGACCCGGCTTCGAAGAACACGTCCATTGGGTTTGGGAGCATTTTAGGCTAGTTTCTTCGCCTGGAAGAGACCTTTATGGAGCACGAGAAATTGGAGGATAAGGTCGAGGACACCATACAATTTATTGTCTTTATGGAATGTGTGAGTGGCTAGCAGAAAACGTCGTTACAGTTTAATGTGGCTGCTAGTTGCGGACCGTAATGTTAAGGAGAAGGGGTGTTGTGGTTCTTTGTGGAAATGGAGGATATGGATTGAATATATTGAGGGAAATCGATCGCATTAAGGGTAAGGGTGATATTAAGGGCAAGGAGTTGGAGTATAAAGGAATAAGGAAAGATGATTAGGGCAAGCCCGGAAAGGGAAAAAATAACATTTATGAAAAAAGCTATGAAGATGATGTTTAGGAAAATATAGGAAGTAATAGAAGGATAAGGGTAAATATAAGTAGCTAGTAAAGGTTTATTTTATATGCCGGACAATTAAATATTTATTTCGAAATTGTTCATAAAATCGTTAAATAAATGGTAAAGATATTTTAAATAAAGGAAATATTACAATGATAATCGAGATTGTCGGTAACGTAGAAATCGTCGATTAAATAGGGTTAATGAAACTCCTCAGAAATTAAGTAATTGAAATTCATCGAAAATATATTCGTAGTGCGAAATGTGTGTTAAATACGTTATGTGTAGGCGAGAGTATTTCGGTTCGGGGCAATGCTTTGCGGAAATCGCGCGTGTTAAG